TTTCGTGTGCGAATGCGAAAGAAGGCGTCAATTTGGATTATTCATATATTTTGAATTTTTCCCTAAAGCATAGTCCGCCTGTCCCTGAAACTTTGTAAAATTTATAGCGGCGCTGCCGTCGGTGAGTAGTGGCTGCTGTAGAAAATAGTGTCCCAGAAATATGGACAAAATAAGTTAGGCACTGCGATCGCTAAGTTGTCTCAATAAAAATAATTTTCAGTCTATTTTTCGTACCAGATGCTAAACCACTTGCACATCGACGCAAAATACAATATTTCAACATTTCTTAATGTTTCTTTTTTTTTCAAAAATTAAAAAATTACGGAACACGATTATTTTCTCACCAATGCCGCGAAGAAAATTTGTACATTATTAAACTAACTTCATCTACTTGTACTCATAAACAGCTAACTTCGCAGATACTACTTACGATGGCAGTTGAGAGACAGGCGGGCTCACGGACCACCTAACCTACGAGACATGTAACGAAAGGCGACATGTTGTAGTGATAGCAGGAAACATAATTTCATGAAGGATAAAATCACGTTTCACCGGTAAGTGCAACATGTAATAATCTTAAAATACTAAAAACGTGTGGGTTCAACTTATTCTGGTCGTAGGTCTGAGGCTGTCCTTGTCAAGCACGCAGTATTATAGTAGCGTCTCTGTCTATCAATCAGAGTTGCTGTAGGCAGCACGTGTAAGTAGAGATGCCCAAAAAAGTATCGATGCAAGTTTATCGAATATTTATTGTGTTATTATTTTTTGTGTAGACGAACAGTCATGCTATTATATTTGTGTATTCATCTATTTGTAATTATAATTTGAAATAGAAATTACAGTTTTACAAACCCTAATTATTTAATAAAAAATGCAGGTAATTTTCGTTTACATTTTCATATTACGTTAATTTTACCTAATGTAGATATTTTCACCTGACTGTCGCGGCCGAGGCTGAAGCAAAATCATGGTTTTCTAGAGTACGTATTATGTTTGTGTATTTCTTATGCACATTCCGCTCTTAACGGATTTATTTTAAGCGATTAGCGTTGTAAATGACATGTATATATTTAAAGAGCTTTACATGTATTTAACGGTATATTTTACTACATTAATTACACATAAATTTGTTTATAATTACGTTACGTTTTCATAGTCTCCCATATTTACGCGTACGATATATGGATGTGACACACATTTAAGTTATTTATTAATAAATACTAATAATAATAATCATTTCGTTATTTTCCTTCTTTTTCTTTGAATGATATTATAATAATTTCAAACTAGCGCACAACACTAGCACACTAACGCTTTTATTGAGACAACTTAGCGATCGCAGCGCCTCCCTTATTTTGTCCATATTTCTGAGACTTATTTTCTACAGCGATCGTTCTCCTATTCTCTATCCTCAATGGTCTACGGTAAAAAATGTGTTACATATCTATTTATCTATGGCAAATATAAAATAAAAATCATGAAGTATAGAGGTAAGGAGGACAACCTCCCATAGGAGAATAGTTGAAAATGTGTCCATCAGTAAGCAGTAAATCATTCCGGCCATAGATTCCGGCTGTGGCACCACTCTCGAGCGGTCGTGTCCAGGTAGTCCGCGCTCCCGTCCCCGCACGGAAGCGCCCTTCTCGCATGCGTGACTCCGCTCTCCCGTTCGCACCGGTCGGGCTGTTGCCGTTGGTGGTGGTTCTTGCCCCCTCGCTCCGGCGGGGAGGTCTGAGCGATTGTCTTGCTTTGCATTGTTATTTTATTGTTATTGTTTCTTGTTATTTTTACTGTTTATGTTTCTTATTATTGTGTTATTGTTTCTTGGAATAGGCGTCGCTTGCTCTTTTGAGAGCAAGCCCTTTGTTCTTCTCAGGACAAAGGGACCTCAGTTTCTTGGAATACATCGTTGACCTCCCAGTCCACCCAACATGTCTACTATAGACTTAAGCCCATTTGTGAGCCAGATTGCGGCCTTGATCCGTCAACTTGGCCAAAAACAGGGAGTACCCGTCAATGTTGATGAAACCCTTCTCTTCTCTCTTCTCAACCAGGTCCCCAGCCCTTCCGGCATATAACCCTCCACCCGTCATCGTGACATTCTTAGCGGAGGATGTCTCCGAAGCTATGAAGCACTCGGACACCGTGTCTGAAACTTCATCCACCCGTAAAAGGTCCGCTCCTACGTCGATCTCCTCACCCAGTAGCTGCTCCTCGGACTCATCAAAGTTCGATCAATCAGTTATTGATACGACCCCCTTTATGGAAGTGAAACCTCGCGCACCTCCCGCACCCCCCGCGCCTACTCGCTCCACCGCAGCCCCCGCGCCTGCTCGCTCCACCGCAGCCCCCGTCGCTGCCACAAAGAAACAAGTCCCGCCCCCTGTCTTCCTCAGGGACAAGGTGCAATTTACTAGACTCTCCAAAGTCTGTTACGACGTAGGCTTTAAATATGACCAAGCCACCAATCTTGGTGAGTCAATTAAAATCGTTCCGCAGTCTATGGAAGACTTTAGAAATATCACCAAACTCTTCACATCCGAAGGTGTGCCCTATCACAACTACTCTCTCCCTGAAGAACGTAAAGTCCGGGCTGTCCTCCGCGGAGTTCCCTTTGAACTCGCCAACGAGGAAATCCTGGAGGACCTTAAGTCCCAGGGATTCCCAGTTGAGGCTGTGCACAGCAGTAGGGGCAAGAGGTACTCGCTTGCCCTCCTCATTTTGTCCAACGTGCCGGAGGCGAAAGACATATTCCGACAGGTACACACTGTGTGCGGCCTGTCGAGAGTCAAAGTCGAAGCCCCCTATAGGTGCGGTTTTCCGGCGCAGTGCCACCGCTGCAAACTCTACGGGCATGTGGCGGCCAACTGCTCAGCCCCTCCCAGGTGCGTTAAGTGCCTAGACCTGCACAGCTCAAAAGAGTGTCCTCGGCCCCGTGATACCTAGTGCCCACTCGCTTGCGTTCTTTGCGGACAGACCGGCCATACGGCCAACTTCAGAGGCTGCTCTCGCGCGCCTCGCCCCTATCTCGGCAACAAAGCTGCCAAAAAAGCTCCGCCACCGGTCAATGACCGTACATTCCCGGCTCTTCCATCCAAAATGCCCCTTCAGGGCAACTGTCAGTCACCTCAGGACCTATATCAGCCCCCTCAGGGACCCTATAGGCCTCCTCACCTTCGCCCACTAGGGCCCCGACATCAGGCGGAACCCTCTTACGCCGATAACGTAGATACAGTATACACTGCTATCCGTAATATCGACGTAAGAGAGATCGCAATTTTAGCACGCAAACTGCGCGCTTCTCAGTCCCCTCAAGACCGTCTGCTCGCGCTTACCGAGCACCAACACCTTCTAAACTCAATATAAGTAGTCATCCCATTCGCAAGCTGCCTTAATTAGGCAGCAACTCTTCCCAGCGGCTACTCGTCGCTAGCGCTCCCCTTTCACCCAAGGGGGGTCGCGTTCGATACGGCTTAGAGATCTCTTAGTTAGACCGTTAAGCCAGTCCCTAAAAGGTGGGGTTTAGTGGGTAAAAGTCTCCACATAACGGACACCTTTTTATAGTCTGTACTCCTTACCTCTACACTATGGAGTGTAGAGGTACCTCTACACTCCATAATAAATCTCTATCTCTAGTATATATCTAGTATTTATATATGTCGATTCACTCTTAAAAAAAAATCGATCTCTGAATCGATTTGAATCGAAGGTACTTGAATCGATTAAATCGAGGAATAAAAGATCGATTCTTGATTAATCGCGACATTTTCAAACATGAAATTTCAAGAATTTTCGATTTTTTTTCTTTAACTTCTAACTGTAATTTTTTTTAATAAAATATTAGTAATCTTATTGATTAACATTACTAATATTCCTTTTAACCACTCCTGGTAAGCTTGAAACGCTTGTGTTAGGAGTGGTTCGCACATACTCCACTCGATCCCTTTTTTAACAAAGTGATTCCACATAACACTTTTATTTGACATTTTAGGCTAAAAACAACAACAATACTTTTACAAAAGTGCAAACTGCAACGTACATTTCTCGATAAATCTGTTTCAATCTAATAACTCACTATTTATCATATTGAAATGAATGCTACACGAACACAATACTGGTTATTTCCTTACTATAAACCTCTATAAACTTCAACGTACGGTATAATATTTTTTACAGTATCTGGGTATTTAAAAAGTACTCTGTCTGTACTTACAGCTCACAGTATGTATATTTTTGATAATATATAATGTAAATTCACAAGTTCACAGTTCAAACAGGTTTACAGCTATAATATTATATTATATTATAGGAGGTGAAATATAATATGAAAATATCGCTCGGTCGATCGAAAAAATATTTATAGTTTGGGATGTAATATATATTACATCTCATTGGAAACAGTTCTATTTAAAAGTATGGTGAGCGATATTAATTTATATCTCGAGATGTAATATTAAATTACATTATATCCCTTAGTGGAAAGTGGGCTTAAGAATTTTAGAAATGAAAATGAAATGACAACTTTTCGATATTGTTGGATGCGTTCATAAACATTTATTTATTCAAATATATTATATTGCTTTCAAATTATCAACCAAGTACGACCGGTTGTTTTTGCGTCCCCCAAGAGCAAAAAATTAAAAAAACTGTGGTATCTTACCCCAGCCAGTTTGGGAATTTTAGCTAGTTCTTGAATCAAACGAATCAGTCCGATTCAGGTTTTTAGATCGATTCAGTGAATCGATGCGGTGCTTCGAATCGATCTAAAAAATCGATAATTTTACTCCAAAGAATCGATTTTTCGATTAATCGATTTTAGATCGACATGCCTAGTTCATGATCGGTTGTTATATAGGAGTAATAGTGTTCTCTGTGGTATATATACAGTAATCTATGATAATAAAAATGGTAAAAAATTATGTACCTACGATTATTTATTTATTAGTGACAGACACTAATTAATTATTCTTATTATTATGGAAAAGGAAAAGTAACCCATGATGGGTAACGAGAACTCTCAATTAAGCGGTCTTAAAATTGAAGATAAAGCTATAGAGATTACTGATTTTTGGTCCCATTATCAAGCTACGATTAACGACAGTTGCAGATATTTTAGCCTAAAAGATGATGGATCTGTATCAGTATTTAAAGGAGAAGTGGTATTAGGCCCACTTTGGGTGACATCAACACCATTAGAAAAGTATTCGAACGTAAGATTTTATTTCAGAATTTTATTTTCAATAATTTATTTTATATTATGTGAGTGACTAATGAACCTTTACAGAATCTTCTGAAATATCGACATCCATGTATTGTTCGATACATATCTTCATGGCAGCAAAGAACTACTTTTCATTTGGTTACGGAGTATGTGCAACCCTTGTCACATGCTTTAATGATACAGACACCTCTCCAAATTTGTATTGGATTAAATAATGTTTTGAGAGCTTTAGTATTTCTACATGAACAGGTAAATGAAATGCAAAACGTAGTTTTTACAGCTTCTTTTTAAGCAAAGGTAATTAATTGATTTTTTTAAATAATATTTAAGTGACAAACATGCTCATATTCCATTTACTCATAGTCCAACCAGAGGTTAAGTGTTTACTGCAGCCCAAAAACATTGGCTAACAAGAAAGGTCACAGATATATTCACAATATCAATGGTTTATATTTTGACTCTATCAAATAAACTTTATGAACCTCTCAATAAATTATTTCATTACATCCAAATGCTATCCCTGAACACTCTTACTATCAACTAGTTACACCTTTTTCTACATTAGTTCTGAAGATTTAAATTCTGGATAATTAATAAATATTAAGTTACAGTAATGCAGAAATAAACTATAATCTAAAATAAAATAAACAATTAGTACAATAAAGACTGTTTAAACTGTTAGTATGTTGTTAACTTCATTATGATCTTGGTAAGAAGGTATACTAAAATGAATGCATTAAATATAATTTTATAAGTAACAGATTCCAATGATAATTAACTGTTGCAGAAAAGCTTATATTAATCTGCCCCTATAGTAACTGCATTCACTTTGCTGCCTTATATTTTTATTATTATTGTATAAAAATTAAACAGATTGTGTTAAGGTAAAAACTTGAATTGCTAATAAGTTATGGCAGAATAACATTATTTCTGAACTTACCATTAACAGCAAGAACTACCCGTTTTCTTTAACAGCCACTAGTGGCAGATATTTTAGCCTAAAAGTAGAGTGGCGGTTACCTTTGAACTTTTTTATATGTGAACCAATTTTGATGCTTTTTTTTTATTTGAAAGCTGGTGCTTCTCACATTCATATAAATTTGATCAAGATCTGACCTGTAGTTTTTGAGTTATCCTTAATAATGCATATTTAACTGACATCAATTACATTGATGATGTTCTCATTTAATTTATACTGAAGTTGGTTGTATAACATTTTTTATTTTACCACTTGTTTATACAATAAGGGTAACAAACAAACACACAGTCCACCTGATGGTAAATGAATGCTGTGGTCCATAGGATCTACCACCTATCCTTGATTAAGAATCAAAATGCATGTATGTTGTCAAATCCTGATCCTGATCAGATCCTGATGTGTTCCCTCATTTTCAATAGAAAAGGTCTCAATTTTCTACATTGATTATATGGAAAACAGCAGTATTATTATTATTAAGCTACTATTTTAAACTGGTAGTTTGCGAGTGTATGGCCCTTTCCCCGATTATTATTATTAAGCTACTATTTTACATTGGTAGCTTATGTGTATGGTTCTTTCCCTATTATTATAATTTTGGGGTATTTATAGAGTATTCTCATCTAGTTGGGCTGAATAAATATATAAAAATGATAAACAAACATAAAGATACCTATAGTTAATATATTAATATAAATTAATAAATACTTATGAGTGTATGGTTCTTTCCCTATTATTATAATTTTGTGGTATTTATAGAGTATTCTCATCTAGTTGGGCTGAATAAATATATAAAAATGATAAACAAACATAAAGATACCTATAGTTAATATATTAATATAAATTAATAAATACTTATGAGTGTATGGTTCTTTCCCTATTATTATAATTTTGGGGTATTTATAGAGTATTCTCATCTAGTTGGGCTGAATAAATATATAAAAATGATAAACAAACATAAAGATACCTATAGTTAATATATTAATATAAATTAATAAATAATACATAAATAAACCAACAATATGGAAGCCCTCGGCAGGGGCCAACGGCCGAGGGTTGGGGGGAAAGGGAAAGAAACCAGTGGAAAATATCGAGGACCATCTTCTGTATTTGAGCCCAGAGCAATCCCATTGCCTCAGATGACCCGAGAGACTGACTAGGGTTAGTCCGTTCGCAGAGAGGACTACAGGAATAATTTTGGTCGTAAGACCACATCACTTGTCACCTCATGAGTCATTTCCAGATATTTTGTTTGCTTACCTGTTTCAGCTTTCACGAGGTTCTTGTCATACGGAATGAATTATCATTCCAATGAATTGACATTAGTCGATCAAAAATATTCATGACTGTGTCTGTCCCATTAGCACAATATCAGGCTTATTCGCAAGAATAGTCCTATCCCAGTAGAGCCTGGTGGGATTGTTTTTGAGCATGGCTTCCGGCAAGTACTTATAATAACGCAGTTTCTGATACACAAAACCATATTTCAGAGCAAGCTCGTGGTGTAGAATCCCGGCTACTAGGTTGTGCCTGTGCAAGTACTCAGAGTTAGATAGTGTCGAACAATCAGAGACGACATGCATAAATGACTCACTGGGATGGTGATAAGCTCGACAGGTGTTAACCGTGCCATCCTTTAGGATGTATCTCCAATAGTTGTTGGTCTTAATAACCTGATCCTGTATTGCACAGACTAAATCCTTAGGTTTCCCCAATGAGGTCACATAAACATAGCCAGTTGAGGGAGGCTACTGTATCTAGATGCAGAGCCTTGTAGAACCTCCCATGGAGCTCTTTCTCCTTGCATACAGTCTCTGGACAGATTATTATTAATAAGCTACTATTTTACACTAGTAGTTCGTGTATGGTCCTTCCCCAATTATTATTATAATAAAGCTACTATTTTACATTAGTATTTAATGAGTGTGGGCAATCCTCAATTACGCCGACCCATTCATTCTACAACTGTAATATAGTTGCAACATGGCTGTTATGGCATTTTATTTGGCTAACATACACCATATTTTTAGATGTGAAATTTAACATTTTTGTTGTATGAAGTTTGATGTTGCATTGAATTTCATGTTTTGGTAGTATGTTTTTATTACACTTTTATTTTGCTATTTGATACATTTTTACTAACACTTTCTACGATAAAAATATGAACCCAAAATTTTTATGGTATGTCTATCTCTAAAGTTGGGTCGTTAATTCAGCCATTAAATCTAGAAATTTTTATACCTATATTATAGTGCATTTTTAACTAATGATTATTTCATTGCTTTAACATTATAATGAATCATGTCATATTTTTATTTTAAAATAATATTTTAGGCTGGTGTATCCCATAATAATGTCAGCGTATCTTCAATATATGTATCAGGAGATGGTCAATGGAAACTTGGGGGCTTACAATACTTGTGTGCTTTTTCTGACTTGAATTCCACCTACCTAAAACATGCTAGAATTCACAGGTATTTCAAAAATGTTTATAATTTTGTATTTGAAATAAATTGAAGCAGTTTTTGAAAGGTTAATTATCTTTTGTAGATATGACAAAGCTGTAGATCCAGATGAAGACTCTCAAGAACTAACTACAAAGGTCGATCAATATGGATTTGCTGTTTTAGTGGATGATGTGTTCAAAGACTGTAAAGATGGTAATTTTTATTTAGGTCATGGTTTTGACACAATATATTCGCATATAATAATTATTAATATTAATATTTCCAGATGATGTCCCCTATTTAAAAGAATTCAGAAAATATTGCAAAGATATTCTCCAAAATAACGACCCAGCCCAAAGGCCTAATTTATCTGAAATCCTTCAGCACAATTTCTTTAATCATGAATTTATATCTATTTATAAGTTTTTAAATTTTTTGCCCATAAAGAAGGAAGAAGATAAATGTCAATTTTTTACCAATATTTTACCAACTCTTGAATGTTATGATGAAGAAACTGTTGCTAAACAACTTGGAGGACTATTGTTATCAAGGATTACACTTTTGGATCCAACAGCAAGAAGAGATGTGATTCCTTATATTTTAAAGCCGAAAAATGGTAAGAATTTATTAAAAATTTACTATTAATAAAAAGAGGGTAGGATGCCCTCTTTAAACCGTTTAGATGGTCTGTGACCACTTCTTAAAATCTCCTCTTCTTGAAATTACCTTTTCTGGATTTGAACACTTCTTGTTACATCTAATTCTGGCAAGTATCATTTGTATGTTAGACTTTGTCGTCTCATAAATATCTCAATTATTCTGTGCAGAAAAACAAGACAGATGACAATGATGAAAGTTAAGTATATATACTAAATATTACATACCTACTTAAATATAAAAGGCTTTAATAACAAGAAAAAGAATATTTTTAGCATAGTTAACACAAAACAAGAAACTAACTTATGTTAACCTATGATGTTTGAGTTATTGATACGTAATACTCGCTCTAGAATGGCGATACGAAAGGCAGGTAATTGCCGGACTCGCTTTCAGTCGGACACTCTCGCGTCGCGGCTATACTTCGCTACAACGCGTAAATCTTCGAGTTATTCGTGGCAAAATGCCTTCCTGTGTTTTTAAATGGCGCACAAATTACACGGTAACTGTTAGAGACAAGATAAAGGTCTCATTTCGTTCGTAAGTAGTTTTTTAATTAAAACATCAGATGTGATTCCGTTTGACTGTTGTTAAATACGTGTAAAGAGCGAGGTGTAATCTGTGCGTGAGAGTGAAAGAAACAATCACGCGTTCGCGCCAATAGCAATCAATACGTAACTAATAATGTATATTCACCTTTGTCAAACGATAGGTATGCCCTATCATTTGTCTTTTTTTTTTTTTTGTTAACGCAACGTGTCAATAAATAACTGTACATAGATATAGTACCACCTGCACCACTTTAAAAATACAATAATGTTAGTGTGTAACCTGTCTATCCTTTTTTATACGTTTTTGATATTAACATATTAATATGTGTAGATACTCGAAGTCGTACTTTTGCTATAATCGGAAAGAAATTAGTAATGGGATGCGACTGTATTGAGTTGCGCTTGTCAATGGCTACGGACCACAAACTTTCTAGATGGCTGCATAAACGGTTAAACGCGAGAATACCAAGCTCACATTTTCTGAGTTTGTAACTTGTTTGAAAAAGGAATCAATACATTTCGATCGTAAAATAAAAAGTCAATTTATTTTAAATTTCCTAAATAAAAGATAGATACAAAATTTGGCAAAGGTTTAAATAAACTGCTGCTAAATTAGAAAGCGAAGAGTTTTCCAATATTAATATCATTAAAAGTCAATTCACTTGAAATTACATGAGACATATTAAATAAGTTAGTAGGTATATTTAAGTTTCTTGTTTGTGTTGACTTTCCATAAATATTCTTTATCTTGTTAATAAAATATTTTTTTATTTAAGTACCTATGTGTTGTTTATTATATTTATACTTAACTTTCTGTCATCTGTTTTGTTTTTCTGTACAACGTAATAAGGTATTTTCGAAAATTGTTTTAAATGAATCCTAGAGTGATAATGAACCACTATAATTTTTTTAAAACCGAATAGTGCCATAAAAATTACTTTTAATCTATAGTTTTAAATTTTCGCTTGAAAACACTAGCCGCCATGTTGTTCAACACGTGACGTCACAGTCGTCGAATCTGCCGATTTTGCAAAAGAATAATATAGGTACTTTTTAATGTTTAATAATGAGTTATCATCTATTATTGTGTTGTGCCTGAATGCAAAAATACGAGCATAAGAACGCCGGGAAAGTTATGGATTCGAGTGCTAACTGATTTAAATATAAGAAATACTAGGCTAAAACTGGCAAGAAGATACCCGAATACATTGTCTACATAAACCAGACTATTCTTCTGGAAGATCATTTTGATGTAAGTATGATTTATAGGTAATTATAGATAAACTATGATAGCTACTAAACTATGTTTTATCAAAATACACTTTGATCTGGTATTGTGTTTTTGTGTAAACAAAAGTTGGTAATAGGTACTTACACTGATGTTTTAACATTCCTCAACTCGGCAGAACAAAAATTGGGATTGTATGCTAAAAATTTTGCAATTTATTTATCCTTGGTAGATTAGTACTTTCTGTTTTTACGAATTCGTCTTCCATGATGCCTTTTCAATAAATTAATTCGGAATAAAACTCAATAACCGTAATTATAACTTAAAATTTTCGAAATAACACAGCAAGTTAGCTAGTTCTCTTAATCAGTGACACAGAACACTAATATCCTTAGGGTTATCAGTGACGTCACGACATTTTCTAATATGGCCGACAGCGTTTTGCAGATTTGAGGAACATACGAAAAAAAATCTTAATATGGAAATTAGAATTTATAATGCAATTTTATAAACAGAAATCAATATTTCTAGTTTACTTTTTACAAAATCTATCATAAATAAAGATTTTTTGATAGATTTTGATTTTATTTTACATGGTGTAAAATACCCTATTGAGATTATCATTAGACAAAATAGTCAAATAGGTACAGAAATGGTTCTTGCCAGAATTGGACATACTAACTAGAAATTTAAATGAAACAAGAGAATGTAAAATCTTTTCATCGCATAAATTAAATTCCCGAGTTTCGTTGCGAGTACTTTATAGTACGTATGGTCACTAGTTTTATATAAATGTCTAGCAATAACTCCTTCTTTTGTGAATTTGCATTTATTTAATCTTAAGTGGAGGGTGGAGGAGGCGAGAGAGGTATGTCAGGATCGTGCTAAATGGAAGTCTGTAGTCTCTGCCTACACCTCTGGGTGACAGGCGTGAGTGTTTATGTTATGTTAATCTTAGGTAAGAGATGTGCGTTAGGATCGTTTGCCAAAGTTATTGAGTAAACCTGTATAATCTTTAATAAATACCATATAGTGATTTTGAGTAAAGAATACGCATCGCAACTCTTTGTCTGTCTCAACCATACATATTTGACATTTTATATTAGCAAAGAGATGTGCGGGTGGTCTTGTTCTTCAAGAAAGGCGACAACGCCCTCTTGTAGAACTACAGACCGATATCCCTTCTGAGCCGCGTCTACGTGCTGTTTTCGACAGTCATTACGAACCGGTTTAGGTATCGCTGTCCGTTAAGTCGCAGCGGCAGAAACACGTCCTAGTATGCGATCCTTAAATAAACCTGCCCACACGTTCACTGACCATCGGTTTTGGTACTCGGTTTGTCGAATAGCGTGCGGGTTAACTTCCCAATACACGTGAGTTTTTCTTCGGTTCTTCAGGCCGTTTCTGGTAAATGTGGACTCGTCCGTCCAGATGACGTGCTCAGTAAAACCAGGTACACGTTGTTGCTGGTCTAATAGCCAACGGCAAAAAACTCGTCGGCGGTCGCGATCGCCTGGGACTTGCATGCTTGCATTTTGTGCACTTTGTATGGTCGCATTCGGTTACGCTTTAACACTGTGAACTGTACAGTATGACACATTTGTTCAATCCCGACGCCTACATTTAGCAATACTTCGTGTACCTATGTTCGGATTTCGGCGAACGACATCTAAAATGCGTTCCTCAGAGTGAACAGTCACTTGACTTCCTGCCGCTACCGGAACAATGGGCCGATTTTCCAACACTCGCTGAAATGCTGCTGTTATCAGAGGAGAGTCAGTTGGATGTCGAGCGGTCGGAAATTTTTCTCGGTAAATTCGTAACGCACCCGCAGCATTTCCGCAGGCTTCTCCAAGGCACATTAACGTGTTGCCGTATTCACGAGCACTATAAACGTACGCGTTAGGCATTTTTAAAACAAAACAAAAAACACTAAACGTAACAATAAAAGTAATAACAACAAGAATTTAATACACAAAACAACTGATCTGCTAACGCCATAGATAAGTTAGTATAAACGTGAGACTCACGCGCACGTCGACACAGAACTGTCTCAAAAACTAAAATTAATAATCAACAGCGTAGTTCGTGTGTCCTTGGTCCTTGCAGTAGTCGCGGCGGGCGGCCAAGCGGGAATTTTCCACATGTTGGCCTTGTAAATTGCGAGGCGACACGGGTTGGCAGCGCGTGTGTAGTTATTGTGGTTTCGTTTTCGTACCGAACTTAGTTTAGTACGTATAGTCAGTTGGTACCATTTTAATTTTCACGGCTGGTTTTATTTTTCAGTATTTTCATTATTTTTTTATGAAATTATTGTTTCATTTAGCTGTACTAACATGATGGAGCGTAAATAAAGCTAATAAAATATTGTGAAAAGATGATTTGATGATTTTCATTGGGATCGATTTTAACCTGGTCCCATCGTCAACGGTATCGTTAGTACTATAGTCTGTGTTCGTTTTCGGGAGCGTTACAAAAATAACCTGTATAGTAAGAGAAACAATCTGCTATACACGTAGTATATTTGCATCAAGAAAAACTAATCAATTTTCTTTTGCTCTCTAGAAAGATTACAAAATGGGGAACATAATGGCTTATTTAGCTTAAATGTATTTAAGGAGCATTTGAAGCCAAGATTAATGCAGCTTTTTGGAGTAAGAGACAGTCAAGTACGAACGCTTCTTTTGTTGCATTTCTCAAAATTTGTACATGTTTTTTCTCATGAAGAACTTTCACAACATATTTTGCCAGAGGTATGATTTTTACACTTTGATAACGATCATATATTTAACTATTTATCACTGATGAAAATCACATTAAACTTTTTTTCTTTCAGTTATTACTTGGCATTAAAGATGTAGATGACAATTTGGTTGCGTCAACTTTAGTTTGCCTTAGTGTATTGGTTCCAATATTGGGAGCGGAAGCTGTTGTAGGAGGTAAAAGGCTTAAATATTTCACTGATGGTAGACCTAAATCAAAAAATAATATTATGGTGGGCACAAGTATACAGAAAGATGACAGGTTTTCAAAACCCATAAGTGATTTCCATTGCTCAGAGGAAGTTTATAATACAAGTTCTAGTTTAACTTTTGGAAAAGCGATAACATTAAATGAAAGACCTTCACCAGTTGGAGGTGAATCACAAGATGAAAACATAGTAGTGGAACAAAATACCAATAACTCAGTTGACTCTGACAATGAATGGGATGATTGGGATAACCCAAATCGTCAACAAACTTTAGAAAAAAATAGTAATGATGATAAAGTTGCTAACAAAGTTCACATTGATGGTGAATTAGAAGAAGTTAATCTCATAAATATAATGGAAGAAACTGTAACAAAAAACTCATTAGCAGATATTACTTTGTTGCAAAAAGCAGCATTAGAAGCTAAGAAAACCATTGTTGATATATCGGAATTGGACATTAAATATCAAAAAAATGATTATTCAAAAAATAATAGCGATGAATTTGACTTCTTTGCCGACATGATGCCAGTTATAGAAAAACAAAAGGTTTTAAGTTTATCAACAACTTATAAACTACAAGACACAAGTAGCAAGTTTAATTTTGTTCCTGATGAAGAATGTGATGAAAATGAGGGTTGGGGGGAAAATTGGAGTTAAAATTCTATTCATATTCATGTATTAATTCAACAAAATCCTTTATTTTTCAATTTAATATATTATGAATGTTACAACTGTCCTTAAACAAGAATTGTAATTACTTAATAAGTGTAAATATAGTTTTTAATAATGTACTTATGTATGGTAAGAATTATATCTGTTTAGAATAAGGCAACATAGAAATGTAAATAAAATTATACTTTTCCTCCAAAAAAAAAGTTATCAATTCTAATTAAAATGACCCATTTGGTATCATATATATATATATATCAAATAAAACTTCCATCCATCACAGCCTATCGAAGTCCACTTCTGAACATAAGCTTCTTCATATATTGCCACTTGACAGGCGAATTCACACCTGCAGATTTTTTACTTATTAGGAAGATGCTGCTGCCTATCTCCTGGTTTGTTTGTTTCTGTCGCTTACAGCAAACAACATGATATGGAGTAGAGGATTTTCTTACACCACCACTATATGGTTTAAAACAACTTAACTACTAATTACTTTAAGTCAAATATTTTTTTATTAACAATTAATTTAAATAGTATAATTTGCCCTTTCATAAGGATGTATCAATTAAAGTAAATAGGCTAGAAGCTCAATAAATTGTTCATAATTTTATTACACTAGCAATGCATTTTTAGAAGCTACACAAAAGTTGCTTGTGTCTAATTTACAATTTGCAAAACCCTAACTAAACCTTCATTCTGACTAGATTAAATCACATACATAAAATAAATAAGTGTTATCTTTGGCAAATACTGACATTTTACAAAACTTAATTAGATCAAATTACCTAAAATGTGATAACAAATGAGGAAGATGATCACAGTATCATTTACAAATTTAGATTGCAATCTTTTTATGTTTTACTAAGTCCTTGGAACTTTCATTGAAGACTTTAATCATTTGTTCTCGTGCCATTTCAGACAATGCTTCTAGATCATTATGAGTCATCCCTTTTGTGGAAATAGGTTGCAATGTTGTTATCACTACTTTCCCTAAAAAAGAATTTAATGGACTACAAATTATGTAAATGTCTCAAGCATAATATAATTGTTGTGCCTGCAAAACCTAACAAATGTTTTGCAACCCATTTTTTTATAAACACAGTTCACCTAATGGTAAGTGGATGCTGTGGCAATAGACATCTACATTTATCTATAATTAAGAATCAAAATGCTTGTTGTCACCCCCGAGGACTAAGATGGAATGTCTTATTTCCAATTAAAGGGATCTATTTTATATTACCTCAACTGGTGCCAAAAATGGCAAATATGTATGTATAAATATGCAAATATGTATGTATGTATTTTCATTTATATGACTTGTTAAAATCATTGTAATAGTATATCTTTATATAATATAACTTAAAATAATAGTTTTTTTCTAGTGAAAAGTTGTTTTTTTTTATTTGTTGAGTTTTGCAGGTGCAGTAACAATATATATAAATAATTGCAATCACCACAAACCAATTAATAGCTTACAATAAGGTTAAGGTAGAAAGCATTATATTTATTTCCTATATAAGCCCCGATGGTGCAGTAAGGTGAAAAATTTCAGTTTTATAGAAAATAAATTAAAATATTAGTAAAACAAGCACATGCATAAATCTCATATAAATGAAGTCCAGCTGCCCAGCATGGTGATAACAAATCCTCCAAATAAAGCATGCTAAATAGCACAATTTGGAAAACCGGCCATTATGTAATATGCATATGAGTAGCATTTTCATGAAATAGCCTTTGTCTAGCTGTAAACTTGAAAAGGCTGTGCAAGATTTATTTGTCAATGTTGATTTTTTTTTTCAAATTAAAAAAAATATGTGTCAAACCTGGTTCAAATGTTTTAGTTTCATTATCCAGGAAGTAGTATTGGCTAAAAACAACTGGCATTATAGGGATCTGTGCATCAATTGCTAGATAAAATGCCCCTTTCTTAAATGGTTGTATATTCCCATTGTTAAATCTTGCACCTTCAGGGAAAATCCACAATTTAGTCTAAAAAAGGTTGAAACCATTACAATTTTTATTTTTTATAATTGTCAGTAAATTTATTATTTTATCTATTATCCATTACATACCTTTTCACGTATTACTCTATCTGTAGCTTCTCTCATAAGTTGACGGGCTTTATCAGTTTTAAGACGATCAATAAATACGAGACCAGAAAGCCAAGCTCCAAACCCAAAGGCACCTGCAAACATAAGTGGTCTCTTCGCCACTACTGTACATCTCTTCATACGCGGCCACATTTCAAACATTCCTGTAGGTAATAAGGTAATTTAGCAAGGAATATCTTTACAGGTAGAAATACGTACTATACATGTTATTAATACGCAATAAATTACCTAAAATATCCAAAGAGCTCTGATGATTAGAAATAACAATGCAACATTGTTCGTTATCCCAATGTTCCAAACCGCGTAATTCCCATTCAATACCAATAATATGCGAAGCAAAACGACAAAATCGGGAAGCCACGCTGAAAACAAAAAACGCTCCTATATTATATCGACTGGATTAGATTTTTAATAAAATTTTAAATGGATTAAAAATAATCAATATTTTACATGAGATTCGTAACATCGCGCGGGTGAAAAAACACTACAGGTAATAAAACTGTACACGTTATTAATACGTAACTATAATAAACAAAAAACTTTAAATAATATCGAAAAACATTGCTTTTTTCATATAAAAATGGCAAGGTAAATATAAAACCCGCCAAAAATAATTCAGGATATGAATAGGAGGAAGCCATAACGAACCATAGACCGAATGTTTTATTTATATAATAAAATAACTGGTGACCAAAGAGCATATAATCACTACGTTCATAATGACATATCCACAAACTAATAAGAGTACTAACGTAGACATATCCAATATCGTAAGACCTATCCACCATAGACAAATTAATTAACTAACTCTCGACTTAATAATGAACAAAAACTTGAGTTACGGAGATTGCTTTCGGATTACAAGGAATGTTTCTCAAATGGACTCTACGGTCTTGGGTTTACGAATGCTACAGAAATGATAATTGAGTTGGAAGACTCTGTACCAGTCGTTTACCGCCCCTACCGCATATCTTACACTGAGCGACAACTAGTAAGAGACATGATGAAAGAGATGGCTGACAGTGGAATCATAAGAGAACCGTCATCACCCTACGTCAGCCCAATTGTATTAATCAAAAGAAGTCTGGTGAGAAACGGTTATGTGTGGACTATAGAGCTCTTAACAGAAAGACTAAGAAAACTCATTATCCATTACCTCGAATCGAAGATCAACTAGATTTACTATCAGTTAATATTGAACAAAACTATTATTTACGGATTTTGTCGCATTTAATTACTGCTTTAATTTATTTTTATTATCGCGACGAATTGGGTGCTTTGCGGCACCCATGGTCGCGGGGGGACCTGGGATGTTTGACGTCCCGGTGTCATGGTTGGTCCAGCTACCTTCAGTTTTTGTATATTAAATTTATATAAATATTTTATTGCCGATTTACGCAAACGAGTTTATAGTATCATGAAGTCTTGCAGTGGTATGCTTGGGTTTGGGTTTAATTTTGTTAATTATAGGATCCCAGGCGGATGGTGGCGCCCATCCATCTTCTCTATTGAAATTTGGATGTTTTTTTTTTGGTTTCAATAGCGTCGCGTATCATCCTTGGTAGGAGTCGGTGTTCTTTTGCGAGGATTTGTGGTTTATCGGTCTAATGGACTGGACTGGACGATTTTGAGCGTGTTCGCAGACTGCAGACTTCCCTAAGCGTCGGTGCTTCGCATGAGCTATATGTTCATATACACAGACGCAAGTAAGGAAGATGTGGCAGGAATATTACTACAGCGGAATTCAAAGAACACATTACAGTCCATATCTTAGTTTAGTAGGAAAACTAGCGCACACGAGTGTCAACTTCACTCATGCGAACTTGAAACTTTAGCAGTGATTGCATCGTTGAACCGCTTTAGAGTCTATCTTATAGGGAGACACTTTAAAATTGTAACCGATTGTAACGCCCTTAGATCCACTCTTACTAAGCGAGATTTAATAGCTTGTATTGCGATCCAACTGCAAGAATACGACCGCACGATTGAATATCGACCAGGCGCTCGGATGTCTCATGCAGATGCGCTTAGTAGAAACCCGGTGGATTGTTCATCTGAAGGTATTGCAGTTGACAAGCAAATATGGGATGTGTTGGCGATACAGCAATCTCAATCACACTGGATAGTTACCGTGTAATCTGCTGATGACGAAATAAATATAATAAAGCACATATTAACGGATTCCAAGACAGATCAATATGTTGACATACTCAAAAATTAAAAAAAAAATACCGTATTCGATCACTAGATGGGTAGTACCTAAAGGAGTAACCAAAATGGACCACGACGATATTGGGCATTGTGGTTTTGAAAAAACATTAAAACGAACCTAAGAACATTACTGGTTCGCTAAAATGCGCCGCTTCGTAAAAAAAATATGTGACGTCTTGTCTCGAGTGTGCACATCACAAAGCACCGGGAGCATAGATTACTGTGTATATACTAGAGAGCTGGGAGGAAAACGTGAAGGAGACTTACATACTATTAATAAGGTCAGCATTCCATTCCACACAGTCCACGCAGATCACTTAGGACCCATTGTCAAAAGTAAGAAAGGGAATAGCTATTCGTTAGTTTTGATTGAATCCGTGTTCAAGTTATTAAAAATCACATAAGTTAACTTAAAAACTTGCAGTTAAATTTCAAGGTCTATATCGCATAGTAAAAGTGCTACCAAATGACAGATTTCTCGTTGAAGATACGCCGCTTACTCGTAAAAACGGTAGGAAATACGAAGCTATAGTTTCAATTGAAAATTCATCTGTGGATGAATTTTGATAGAGATTTTGAGTCTGATTCAACTGTTAATAACACAGTTGACACTGAATAGTTGTAATAAGGTAATCATTAGTTTTATTTACAAATTTAAAAAAAGATAATTGTGTAATTAATACTAATTATTGATATTATTACTGAACAGTAAATTTATTTTGATTTTATTATTTTGATTAATCTTTTATTTGTATTTTGTCATGCTTAGTTTAGTTTGGGATGTGTTAAAAGTATTTATATATATATATATATATATATATATATATATATATATATATATATATATATATATATATATATATATATATATATATATATATATATATATGTATTGGAATATTATATATATATATATATATATATATATATATATATGTAATTTCTTTACTTATTTAATACTATACTTGCGGCGTTGTTTAAGTGTACAAGCGATGGCACCCACTTTGAGTAGGATGGCCGAGCTGTTAGGTTACTATTATTGCGTAACTATTATTGTTACAATAATGTTAGGTTAATAACCAATTTGTTTATAACAGAATTACTCGATTTAACTTTATATTATAATTACTATTAGTTGTTAACATTAATGATTACGGATAATAGATAGAGTAATATAATTTAACCAGAAGTATAATGTTTTGATTTCTGTAAAAGAGTGGGGCGGAAAGATGCCACCCCACCCTGTTAATGAGTGCGAAAGGTTGATTAGTAAATGGAGAGTGGCATTAGCTCAACTCGAGTCGTCACAATAAGACGTGAATTTAAGTTAAATTGTGTATAAGTTTAAATTGTAAAGTGAATCAAAGTGTAATAGTTTGAATCTACCGTTTTGTTTTCTACCTGGACTCGAAATAGTATTGTAGAAAGTGAAATAAAATGTAATAGTTGGAATCAACCCTTTTATTTTCTACCTGATCTTGTAATATGTAGTACAACAGTACTAACTTATTTGTAAGTCTAGGCATGATGATGATATTTATGAGTCTAACAATGATTAACTTCAATCGATATATGGTCGACGCTAATTGTTTAGTTTGTAAACATTTATTTTATACGTGCACGCCGATACTCAGTTTTCCAACATTCAACTAACTATAACATATAGTAACAACTGAGCTGCACGATGTTCGCGAATAATTCGTATAAATCGTATTGGAAAAAAAATAGATAATTGCTGAATCGTTAGAAATATTTGTAATCTCACGTAAAAAAATTATCAGTTTATAACTTTATTTATAAAAAATCAAAAACTTTTTACGGAGCGAGAAAGTAGAAAAATACGTTTTTCTGGTAAGATATTGATTTGAAAACATTGAAACCACTGCAAATTAGTTTGTAAATTAATTACCGATTCTGTAAATATTGCATTTTTTGCTATAGGTACTGAGTAATAAATTAATTATTTTTTCAATTAATACAAATTATTTGAGAACATCGTGCAGCTTAGAATAATTTGTATAAATCTTATCGGAAAAAATTTGATAATTGCGGAATCGTTAGTGGTTGAGCGACGGGCCTAGGGATTCCCGAGTTCGATTCCCAGGTCGAGCCTTGACCCTATTGTGCTAGATGTTACTAGTTGGACTGTATACACGTGGCACGCGATAGCCTTGGACAATGCACTCGCTCTTCCAAATCTATTGCTTCGCCAAGTTCGAGAGGAAGTTCTACTTGAGCCGGTAAGGAGAAAAAAAATGGGGCGGGTTAGCTAACAAACAAAAAGGCTCAAGGAGGAACAAAGTTAAAGGAAACACACTTACCGGGGTGGGATCCTGATGCTGCGGGCGACGCTTCTGTTGCGGTGGTACGTTGAAAGAGGACGCGACGATCACTCACACTACGTGAGGTGGTTTCTTCTGGTGCGCGACTGCCCCAGGGTGCGGTTCAGACTATCGGAGCGAAGCAAGAGGACGCTCGAGGGCGGCGCGCGAACCTTTATTGGGTCGGCTTTTCCACCACCTCATCTCGGTGGGGGGCGCGTTTTATTGGTCGAAAGAATCGCGTCACCTTTTAGACCCCCCCTCCCTCTCCCTTCAGTGTGTACGGTAGGGATATGAAGATATAGGAAGGACAGACACTTGGCGAGCAGTATACCCTCGAACGAAATTATAAATACACGAATAATTTCCGCGTAACCACCCCCCCGGCTTGAAGGGTCCCCTTCAAACTAACTAACGCTAAGATTAAACCTAATTTTCAACTATAATTTCTAATCTAGAAAGCTAATTCAAACTATTGATTGGGCAAAGGGCACAAACGGACAACAGGGCGCATGTAAGACCCAGTCGTGATCCTAATGCGAGCTACCCTAGTTACCCCGTCGGATCCGGGAAAAACCTCTTCGACGATTCCTAATGGCTAATGGAGAGGCGGCGTATTCTCCTTGGTGAGTACAACCACAGTTCCGACCGTTAAAGGTTCAGTTGTTGTGTTCCATTTTTGCCGAGACTGCAACGTATGCAAATATTCCGTCTTCCATCGTTTCCAAAACGACTGCACCAGCCGGTCTAATAATTTATGGCGTGCAGAAATACTAAGTTTGTCCTCGTTTATGTCTATGGTGGGCAGATATTTCAAAGGCGTTAAATTCAAAAAATGTGCTGGAGTTAGAGCCAGCGGCTCCGAGGGGTCACTTTACAACGTACGACAAAGGAGGCGACTATTCATGACGCACTCAATTTGAGCGACCACAGTACTTAACTCTTCGAAAGACAAAATTTGATCTCC